CTCACAACACCATAAACAAGAAGGTAAAAAAATAAGGTCGTTGTTCATTATGTTGTCACTAGTCCATCAACAAACAGATGCCATGCTGAGAAGTATAGTGGTGATAAGACTGCAGGGCCGCTTAGTAAATAGAGCGATTCTGCGACACAAACTGACAGGGCACTCCCAGGGTTTACAACAGCTGTGCGATCAAAAAATAAAAGATCGGTTTCGATTCTTAATGAACAGTTTAGAAACCCACCTCTGGTTTTAATGCCGATCCAATTCAGATATCGACAAAGTTTCTTCGAAATGTACGTTTTGCCACGGGCCGGTAGCCCTACCATGACTATCACGTTTGGTATTCGAACTTGATCTGAAGCAGGTGAGCCTTGAATGATCGCATTTTCATTTTTAATCACATTAATATTCATTCAAGGTGTTTTGATTAAATTCACTAGCTAAACTTGGGAAATTGAGTTCCACACTAGAAATGGTTAGAAGGTGCTAGGTGAGTTGGGGCTGGACCACGCGGCGTCTGTCAAACGCAATGGCACTAAGCCTGAGCCTAGAAGGAGGCTCAAATGTGCCAAAAGTCAATCACAAATCATAATGTTCATAGTTTACCCACTCCTTCCTAGGCTCAGGCTTAGTTAGTCCTATCGCGTTTGAAAAACCCGCCGCCGCGTGGTCCCCCAACTCACTTACACCTAGAAAAAACGTGCATAATACCCTTTTACCAACCTCAAAAGCTTCTCAATAATCATCTTTCTGGTCAGAAAAAGTTCAACTAGCGAATCCCTGAATCTTCAAGAGAGGTACGAGGGATTTAAACCCCAATTCTTGATTAATTCTACTAGCTTCTTGAACGAAAGAAACCCACCTGAAAATCCATGCTCGCTAGAATGGGCCACCATTCTTTTCGTTGATGTGTCGTCAGATGATGTCGGGGTAACGGCATTCGTATATAGAACTTCAGGCGATGTCAGAACGCCGCCGTCCGACATCTGCAACAAGATTTATGCGTTTGAAGAAGTTGATTGGTGATAAAGTGATGAATTGACGTGACGTGACGCTTTCGGGAGCAAAAGCGCAAAAGTTCACTGATAACAGAAACCAAAGAATAGACTTGCACGACTTCAAGACAGATCAGGTTCTGAAAGC